TATTATTATTATTATTATTATTATTATTATTATTATTATTATTATTACTGTTGGTTCGTAAATCCGCGTTTTCCACGTGATCGTTATTATGTTACGCGACGCGACCACGATGAGGCTTAACCGTTTGTCGGCACATCGAACGATCTGTTAAGTAGAAAAAATTAAGTCGATATTTTTTTCAAAAATCCGTACGCGGTAAATGGGACTGCCGTATTCTACCTGTTCACATTTCGATTAACAAGCAAGTATACGCACGCGTACGCGCCGAACAGAGACCGTCACCGTTCAAAGCTGCACATTTTTGTTTTATTTTATTCGATATTGTTAATTTGAATTATTATTATTGTCCACGGGAGACGGGAGTCTTCGTTACCGCGATTTCGTATCGCCAACTTATTACTTATTAATGTTTTCGCGCACGAAAATGATCTGATATTCGATTTTTTTTATCGTTCGATCGATTCCGCAACCCCCGCTTCAAGTTAATACATATTAACGTACAAAATCGCCGACGCGTTCCACATACAAGATCGTTTATTAAATTTTTGTTCGACGTGGTTCCGCACCTCCGTCGATGACGTTCGTAATATTTGCATCACGTGAGACCATAATTTAGAACGTGACGGTAATATAATAATGATATTATATAGAATATAGCTCAATATTTTTGTAAACGTAGGCAAAGATGATATAATAATTGTTCGCGGTCGAGGACGTCCTAGGTCGCGATCGCAATAATTTATCCGTAAGGCAATATTTTATTTTTTTACGCGTAAGAATTTCACGTTTATTGATGCCGATAGACAATAATGATTTCGTATTAAGAGTCGGGCTTAATATTATGCCTGTATACTATGCCTTGTTGTTATAACGCTATACATTATAATAATGATAACATCCACCTACGTTTTAGCCCAGTGATTCTCAACATATTTTCATTCTACTTCCCTTTCAAAAATTAAAAATTTTACTACCCCTTTTTTTGTATACCCTTGTCAATAAACTGTAAAATCGAAATCCGTAACGATTATTATTTATTTTTATTGATTAAAATAATTTTTGTAATTCGCGATGACTGCTTGCGACTCCATCAGCAATGTGTTCACGCCCCCTTATCCTCCCTCAAGTTTATACGCGGTGTAGTTAAGCATAGGTGTAATGTCAAATGTTTTATACTTATACGGACATACGCGGCTATAACGACGCTTTATTATTATTATTATTATAATTATTACTATTGTGTAGGTTCGATATTTTTAGAAACTCAGACTTGATTATTAATTAATGTATAGTTTAATAGTATACAATTTAATATTATTTTCTGTTAACGTTGCAATAACAACAACGATGACGATGATGTCCGGAAAATCATTGCTACATAGAAAAGCCGATTATTTTTTAAAAATAAACATTAATACGTTTTATAAAATATCGTGTAAAAAAAACTGTTAAAAATTATACCATCCCACACATTGATCGTGTATCCGATCGTTAGACGAATAACGGATTTTCACATCTGCACAGCATGGGAATGATAAACGGTCTTGACTACATAAATAGGCAAATGTCACTGGTCAAACCAATTAGACCTAGTCTAATGCCTAAGTCAAAAATTGGCAACTGGTAAAATCTAGGGATAACTGGATCGTCAACTTATCATATTCAAATGCATTAATTGCATTTTTTTAATATTTTTTGTTATGAGATACAGTAGATGATACCAGGACTGGTGAATGGTATTGCTGTACTGGTTTTTTAAACTTTAAACCAATTTACTATTGCTCACTTAAAAACATTCTGTGTAAAAGAGATCATGTTGAACAGATTTTATATCTAAACACGGTTGATAGATATAATAGTAGAACCCAATTCGTAATAAGGTTGGTTGAACTTTTGATGTTCTACATTTTGCAAAAAAAAACCTAAACAGAACAGTTAAGTAAATTATATTTAAAAGCTGTCGTGCCTCTTCACCCCCCTCCGTGTTATCAAACTAAAACCTATTACGATTTTAAAAAATTTAAAATGTCATGTGTCTATAACAGTATAAATTTTATTCAAACGTTTTGAAACTATAAATGTATTAAAAATGCTAATATAGGTACACAGTCAACTTTATTGAGTACTTATACTAGCATTTAATTTTTAACATTTAATGTTTCGAATCACTAAGATAAATATAAATATTTTAAAAATTGTAAAATTGTATTGAAAACCCGTAATTTTATAGAATTACAGCCGAATAGTTAATATTGCATAATTGAAATGCGTTTAAATAACCGATTTCGTCAATATTTTATTTTCTAATAATTATAAAAAAAAAGTTGCCAATTTATGATCATTTTGTTTTGTTCCTTTTTACAAAAAAAATCTAATAAAAAATGTTGTATTCAATTTTCAGAACTATAATAATAAACAATAAAAATGTTGCCGCCTTTTTATAAATATTAATAAGTTTTTCATTGTTATTAAGAAAACTGTTTAAATATACGTAAAATAAATACTTCTAAAGTAGCAACTGGACAACATTTCCTGTTAAAATCCTCAAATGATTATGATGATCGAAGCAATTCTTAAGGTTGAAATCGTATACACAGACATAAATAATTTTTACAAATAACAATACAAATAGTTTTTGATAAAATAATAGGTAATGCAGTATTCAAATTTTAACCTTGGTTGAAGATTTTTGGAATCTTTGCTCAGTTTTTCTCAATTATTTTAAATAATGCTGAGAAATTCATAATATAACATCATTTTTTTTAAATTTTTTTTGTCAAATCTCGATAAACTTTGCGATGAATTTCAAATTCATATATTAACGGATACAATATGTGTAGATAATATGCAACCGGACGATATTAATAATATGGTCAGTGGCGTATTTTGAATTTTTTTTTTTTAAGTGGTAGTTGTCCTGAAAATCCTTTTTTCTCCAAAAATACGAGTATTATCGTAGCTTAATGACAAACTCATATAATAAGCTCCTCTCCCCACAATATTTTCCCGAAATATTGTAAAGGTTAAAACTTGTTGAAAATTGTTATAATTTATAATCTACTACATATTAAAGTGGAAATATCAGCATAATGTTTCATTGGTGAGTTGTAATGATTATAGCTCTATAATTTTATATATGGATTTGACAATATAAAAATACATTATAAGCAATATTGGGATTAGACAAAAACTTTTTAACCAAATAAAAACAAAGATAATACGACAAAAATGTATCTAGATAAAATAATCTAAATTTAAATCTATAAAGATAAAAAAAATAATAGACATTTGTTGATACTTAAAAGTTTAACTTCTTGAGAGTACACCTTAGATACTAGTTTACTATTTAGTACAGTAGAACCTCATTAATCCAAACTAATCGGGGCTCTAGGTTGTCCGAATTAATGAAAGTCCGGATTAAACGAAATGACCAAAAATCGTAAATCATAAATTTAAAAAAAATGTATTGGATATTTTATTATACAAGTTTTAATCTAATACATATGTATGTCTTACAATATTATACTTAAAAAATAGCACATACATGTATTATAATTATCACATAATAAATACAGTACATATTAAGGCTTACCTTCATTATTCACACTTGACACGCTTACTGGTTTAAAAAAACTGCTAATCTTTGATTGTCTTTCTTTCGCAGTGATTTGTTTAATAATTAACTCGCGGAGATGCCTTAGATGCTCATAATACGCACATATGTTTTCATCGTTGCTATTTTCTACGTGTTTAATGACAATTTTTAGATAGTTTAGATTAACTAGCGTCATTTACGTATTATAAACGGCTGTCCGGATTAAGCGAAGTCTGGTCTAATAAGGTCCGGATTAATGAGATCCTAATGTACTTCGATATTATTTAAACACAGACTATATGTTTATACGATTGTTGGTAATAAACATTATTATTAGTCAATACTCAAAAATTATAAATTAACAACAATTTTAATAATTAAGTATAACTATCAAAATACCACTTGCATTTTACCGCATAAAACGTAAGTCATCTGGTGTAGATCTTTCTGCGTTGAAAAATAGAAAGCTCTAAGTACATTATGTGTTACACTGCAATGATTTAAACTTAAGTATTAACATAAGTCATATTATTATATAATTCCAAATAACTCATTAGATTATAGATTATGTATTAGCAATATTATTTAATTATTTTAGTAGTACCAAAGAATGTATTTCCTTATTTTCGAATCGCAAACAATTTAATAAAAAAATTTTAAATATGTGTTTATTTTTATATTTTTATAAAACACTTCGTAGATTATTAAAAAAAAATTATAAAACACAAAACTTACACCATTGATAAAATAGTATTTTAAAGTTCATCAATCACATGTTTTTCCTATAGGTTTTATTTGATTTATAATAAAAATAAAAATAAACGAAATTTATTATTAACAGATAATCATGTGAATACATAAACATGTATGCTTGAATTATCCACTTAAAGTGTTGATAATGACGATGGTACATTAATTTCAAATATTAACTAAAAAAAAAACCAAGATTATAAGAAGATATTTATTTAAGTAAAATATAATTCATTGTGTTCTGAAGTTAATATCCTATGCAAAAAATAATCAGTCGAGTGTTTCTGATATCTTGTTAAAATTTCAAAGTCTTTAGTAAATAAATCAACTGAAACTCATCGATTGCCAATTAATCAGAAAATCCATCAGGGAGTTCAAAAAACCTATATGAAGTTTTCATTCTGAATATAAAAAAGAAGCTGATATATTGATATGATATAACATAATGTAATTATAAAAGTGTGTATTATTGATATTATGGTTTTGTTCCGATTTATATAAACTATTGGTTGAATAACCGAATAAACCTGCTTCGCCTCGGACATTGTTATTACTTTGATTACTTTTTCGAAGTAAAAAAACATTTTTTATTTGAAAAAGCACACGGTC